TATACATAAATATTCATTAAAATTTTTTTCTGAAATCAGATAAGAAAGGTCGCCAATTTATTAAATTTTTATTGAAATTTTTTTACATCAAAAACAACACGACCTCAATAAACAGAGCGACACGGATCTTTTGCCTGACAATTATCTGCCTGTCCTTAACCAGTTATCCTCGATAACTTTTTAACTCCTTCTTTCCTCCGCTTCCTATTGTTCCGTCTCCATCACACATATTTTTTCTCTTTCCCCTTCTCCTATTCCTTTTCTTGTCTCCTTCCTTTAATCCTGTATCAGTTTGTTTTACACGTTTTTCTGACTACAGTAATGACTATTTGATACAAACTACTCGACTTTTCGCTCATGGATATTTATTCACTCATTTTTATGGACATAATGACTTTATAATTTTACAATTCAACATAATAATTTTTATTTTTTATTTATTTATTTCTTATTTAAATTTTTTTTATTTATTTCTTTAATATTAATTTCTTATTTATTTTTATTTTTATTCTTTTATTTTCCCAACCTCTGACTTTTTAGTTTTTGGCTATTTGTGATTTTCTTTTTATCTGACTAATTTTAATACGTTTTGACGGTTTGTGTGATTTAACACTTTAATTGGTTTTTATATAATTTAGACATCACTAAGAATATCTTTGGGCATTTATCTGATCTGATCTTTGTCATGTTTCTACTTGTTCATGTTGGGAGCAAATGACTAGAGACTTTTTTATTTGTCTTTTTGATGGATTCTATGTAAGTCCAATAGCAATATCTCATTTTAATGTATGTAATACAAATTTGTTTTAAGATTTATATATTCTATGTTTTCCCTCAGATGTTACTGAAGATAACCTAATGCAGGTCAAAATGTTTAATGTTGTTACTTCAATAAACAAAAATTTTGCAAGCAAGAAGATTCGGCTTGGCTTATGTGTCCCTTATTTTTCTCATTTGTATTAAATTATGTTTTATTTTGCTATATTATATCATAATTTCATATATAAATTAATAATAAATTTCATATATAAATTAATAATAATAAACAATTTAAAATTGCATTATAAAGGTGAAATATACGTAAAATCGTGAAAGAGTAATGCAAAAACCTACACCCTAAAATCTACATCATATCAGTATGATATCAATGTTCCATCAACATAGATTTAACATTGAAACAATTTTGTATCAATGTCCATCAGACATAGACATTACATGTATAAATCAACATTCGCGGACATTTTTACATTGTAACAAAGATTCAGTGCAACATTGATTCAGTGTTGATCAACATTGATTCAACATCAACATAGTTGCAACTCAACATTTCTAAAACGTTGATTCAATGTTAATGTGCTATATGGGCATTATTTGAATTTACTTTAATATATAAAAATATTTTTATTAAACAAAGTATTGTAAGAATTAGATAATCGTAAGCAGTCATGAAAGAAATTCGGAATATTAACAGCTAACAGAGAGGAGCCATCGCGGTCGTGCAGACTAAGTGTCTTAGTAGTAAGCGAGGGATCCCAAGTTCAAATCTAGTCGGTCTCCGTTTATTTTTCCGAATCTAATAAATATCTTTCAATATTTACCAGATAAATGCATTACATTAGTTAATTCTTGCCATGAATTGTCACATTTATTTGTCTTTATAATCATTATCTTTTTTATTCCACAGATGTGGATACGATCTTATTAATTCTATTAATAATTCGTCACTATCTTTAATATAATCATCTATATTTTCTTGTTCCCACATAGTTTTCACAAAAATTTTCCATATTGTTTTGTAACGTGCTTTCATATGTATGATCGGCCATGCTCACGACAATTTAAATTATATTTTAATTTTAATATTTCGTTATTTTTATTCCTAATTCCTTTATTGTGCTATATCCTTGTTTAAAATAAAATAATTCTTAATATCTTATTTTAATATTTATTCTTATTCCTCCATTGTGCGCAGGCCATTACTCACTCACAGCGTTAGGATGAGTCCCCATGGAGAAGGAAATAGCGAAATGGAATAATACTGGAAAGGAAACATAATGGGAAACTAACCAATCAGAATGATTTCGTTCCGTTTTTTCAGGTTACATGACCAGGTTACATTTCCATAAAAAAAGGGGGATAATTTGGTAGTAATAAAAATCCTTAACAACACAATTTTTGTGGTTTTCGTGATACTGTGTAAGTAATAATCTGTGTAGTTGCGGAAGACTTTTTGACATGTGTGTATACACATGTGTATACACATATGTTATATGACATATTTTCTAACCGTAAATATAAAATATATTGTAAAAGAAAAATAAGGAGAAACAAATGGAGAAGGGAGAAAATATCAGATAAGTAAAGTAATATTCTTATAAAATAGAAAATATTTATCTATGTACACACTATGACTATAGATGTTGTTGGACCGATTCTTTTTTTCGATTAATTTTTTGTTCTAGGTTCAAGATTGGAGACTAAATGCTTCTCCTGATCACCCTTTTGATCCTTAGTGATGAACTGAATCGAGTGGATAGGCAATCCATCGTCAAGGGAGTACGAGCTTGTCAGAATCAAAATGGATCTTTCACGGTCATGGTTATCGAATGCGGGAGCGATATGAGATTCCTCTATTGCGCCTCATTGTATATCAGCGATTTTAGATGACTGGTCAGTATATCCAAGTGCTATAGATTATATTTTAAGAAGCATTGCATTGCATAAGCATTTATTACATCAAATTATTATCACAAGTTTCATATACATTGTTACATTTAGTTTTATCTTCTTTTAATGTTAATCTTGTTTAATAGATGATTCATATTATGATAATTGCAGTCATATGATGGCGATATTGGGCAAGGACCAGGTCTCGAATCTCTGGAGACTCCATATTTTGTGCTGTGGTGTATTGAACATATTGGCAAAATTTGACAACACTTGGCCTGATCCTTTACACACATATTTAGATAAATCCATAAAATTTACATTACGATTTTATTCTGTAATTGAATTTAAAGATTTTATATATCTGATATATAAAAATGCGTCATAATAGAAAATTTTTTTACAGTCAATCTTTATTTTAAATAATACGAGTATAGACATATAATTTCCTTTTAACAGATTTGTGTGGCTTAAGTCTTTTGAGACAACTTGGTCTGTGTTCGATAAACTCCAAACTTAATATTTCTCAACGAGCTTAAGAGCTCTACATATTTTTGATTATGATTGATTAGATGATGCTGGCTGTACTGTTTCTGGCTTTTCAGTAATTTGTTTCTTGCCCAATGCTAGTTACTTCTGATTTGAAAGCGATTGTCGAAGATGCTTGTAAAGATACTTCAAAAACCTTCTCCAAGAATATTTATACTCGTCTTAAAATTTCAATATTATTTACAACTTATCTTATTGAGCACCAGAAAAATATTAGAAGTTTTATGAAACACCCTAAATTCTAGAAAAGATTGGAGCGTGATACGTTGAAACAAAAAGAATACGAGCTACAAAAAATTTGGAAGAAAATTGAAATAAAAAAGATAATTTAGATCTTTTATTAATTTTGAATAAATTATCAAAGATTGTCGGAAAAAGGGAAACATAAATAAATATTTTGATATAAATATATTTAAATGTATTTAAATATCCTTTAATATATATGTTATGGTCAATATGTTTAACGTGGCCTTTTATAAAATGACCGGGCATTGTACAGAATGTTCGTTCGAAGAGACATTGTACAAAACGCCCTTAACAAGTTTCGATCAATCTGTAAAATGTCTGTAAAATGTCTGTAAAATGTCCAGTCATTATACAGAATGCCTAGAGGGTGGTAGTCAATGTATCGCTCTGACATGGAAATTAAAAAATGTGTTTTTTATTGAGATAATAAATCCTTTAGTCAAAATCAACATACAGTCATTATAATCATAGTTAATCATAAGGATCATTTATTGGAGCAAGGCAAAGAACTGTGGCACTTGGAATTACAGAGCTGACCGATAGCTCTGCACGCGCACTTTTTTGAAACACATTTGATTTTGCAGTTTCTTATACTCCTGTAACTCTGACACGCTGTTGTAAGATGCCCTGACTCACATTTCTTATATCCTTGTAACTCTGACACGCTGTTGTAAGATGCAGCCTCCCTCAGAGAAATCAGTTTGCTATTCGCCTTTACAGTAATAGCAGCTAAATCTAATAATCTTTCTTTGCACGGATGTATTTCCGCACACGTATACTTGTGCTTGAGTTGGCCATGTTCAGAGCAACACAATGTGTACAGGTCATCAATACTCTTCACCACTGCTAAGATGTTGTTGGGGGGTAAGAATGTGTAGGAGCGATAGGCAGAGTACAAGCGATAATAGATGAAGATAAAAGAATGTCAGTTATAGGCAGAGTACAAGCGATAGATAAAAGAATGTCAACTATGGATTCAACACATTGCCCAACGAACCGTGGGCATTACATAAAATGTCCGGGTCATTTATGAAATACTTGCTCATTATACACACTGCCAAAAAATAGGGCAATCTATACAATGCCCGATCATTTTACAAAATGCCCATGCTAAACACATTGACCGTAACATATATACTTTACAGTTGCGAGAGTAAGATATCTAATTCTAGAAAACGTCTAAAATATACGCTACAATTAGAAATATTATTTTATTCAGGTTATTATGATGAAAAACGATCAAATGTAAAAATATCTTGTATATTAAATACTATGCACTTTTTTGATATGATCACTAGTCTCACGAATATTTGTACACTGAAATCATTCGCCATTTTTTATGAATCCGTTGTAGATATAGAACTCATAAGCTTGTTGAAAAATATTAAGTTTGGAGTTTATCGAACACAAGCTGTCTCAAAAAACTTAAGTCACACAAACCTGTTAAAAAGAAATTATATGTCTATATTATATATCTATACTCGTATTATTTAAAATAAAGATTGACTATAAAAAAATTTTCTATTATGACATATTTTTATATATCAGAGATCTTTAAATTCAAATACAGAATAAAATCGTAATTTTATGCATTTATCTAAATATGTGTGTAAAGGATCAGGCCGAGTGTTGTTAAATTTCGCCAATATGTTCAATATGCCACAGCCACAAAACGTGGAGCCTCCATGAGATTCGACGTGGTCCTTGCTCAATATCGCCAATATTGTATGACTGCAATTATCATAATATGAATCACCTATTAAACAACACTAACATTAAAAGAAGATAAAACTAAGTGTAACAATGTGTATGAAACTTGTGATAATAATTTGATGTAATAAATGCTTACAATGCTTCTTAAAATATAGTCTATAGCACTTGGATATATCCACACCTAATCAGTCTAAAATCGCTGATACACATGAGGAATAGGCAATAGAGGCAATAGAGGCAATAGAGGAATCTCATGTCGTTTTCGCATTCGACCATGGCTATGAAAGATCCATTTTGATTCTGACAAGCTCGTACTCCCTCAATGATGGATTGCCTATCCACTCGATTCAGATCATCACTAAAAATCAAAAGAGTGATCAGGAAAAGCATTTAATCTTCAATCTTGAACCTAGAACAAAAAATTAATCGAAAAAAAGAATCGGTCCAACAACATCTATAGTCATAGTGTGTACATAGATAAATATTTTCCATTTTATAAAAATATTAGTTATTTATCTGATATTTATTCCGTCTCCATTTGTTTCTCCTTATTTTTCTTTTGTAATATATTTACGATTAGAAAATATGCACGTCATATGACAAATACTATACGCATATGTCAAAAAATCTTCCGCAACTATAACAGATTATTACTTATACGGTATCATCAAATCCATAAAAATTAAATTGTGTTGTCTAAGGATTTTTATTACTATCAACATTATCCTCTCTTTTTTAATGGAAATTATGTAACCTTTTTTCATAGCCGGGTTCCTCATGACAAATATTTAACGGAACGGATTTATTACGGAATATGTAAATTTAACCTGTTATCGGATAATCGTTGGACGGCCCGACATAAAGCCACTTTAACCGTTCTCTGCATCCAAGAAAACATAAAAAAAGCAATTTTCGCACGATATGG